AAAATCATTTTCTGCTCTCATTTATTATTTTTAGTGTCAATCAGACTCTGATGAGATGAGTAACATCATTAGGTACTGGGATCAACTACTCAGTACTTTATAAAGGCAGTTTAAGTAGATCCATTGTCTGTACTAGAAGACATAGTCAGAGTTCAAAAAGTTTTTCTTTTGTGTAGAAATCTTGTTGGAAAAAAGCCTTAGAAAGATAAAACCTAGAAGCTGTTTTTTTTTTCTTTGTTTGTTTTGTAAGAATGAAACTACACTGGGTCACCAGGATACCACATATCACTTCCAAACTATAAGTGATGACCAGGTCTAATTTCTCCCATGAACCCCTAAACGGAACTCCTGTTGCATAGCCAATGAAGATAGTTGGCTTTGCTCCCAGTTTCTTCCCTTCCCTCCCTCTCTAGAGAGAGTTGGAGATTCTGTGGGAGAGAAATGCACCCAAGATTAGAAGCCCCCCAGGAAGGTAAAGAGACCAAAGCTGAATTCAATCTAGATGCAGGCTATGTACTTCCTGAGTATTTTCCTTCATCCCCTGACTCAACTTTCTAAGAAATGCTTTTATTAAAAAAAAACAAAACACCTTTATTGATAATAAACTCCACTCAGAGAAAGCATTTGCTCCAGACTGATAACTTGTGTTGTCTAGCACTGATAGATTCAAAACGCTCTTCCCCAAACTATCTGATGGGGTTTCAGAACTAGCATGGACTAGATAGGACTAAATGGTATATTGTTTCCATTTCATGTGCGACTGATTAAAAAAAAAAAGTCTAGAGAAATTTAAGGAGGCAAATCATGGATTTTGGTTGGTTACCTATCCTGGAGGTGGGAATGTAAATTTCTGAGTTCCAATCACGTGACAGGAATTTGAACGTCTTATTTCCTGACATTGGAAATGGAAATGGTAAAATGTTCAAGTCCACATCAAATTTTAGGCACAGAAGGAAATTATATTCAGCTATTCTTTTATTCAACTGGTGTGATATGGAAAATATTTGATGTGCTGACTTGGGCACTGATCAGGAAAGAGGGATACAAGCTGGCAATAACTGGAATGCCTATGCGTGTCAATTTAATATTAATGGTGGAGACAACCTACTATGTGCTGAGAACAAGGCTTTGTATTCCTTGTCTTTGTCCCATGCTGTTTCTTGATTATGCCCTTCACTTTGTAAAACACTTTGCTGATCTCTAGACATAGATGGCCTGTCATCCATTTCAGAGTGCCTGCTCTGTGGTTTCCACCTCGGGAAATGGGCGTTCCAATACATGTGACCTTGTGGGGTGGTTTTAATGTTTCAAAGCACTGGTACAGGTTTGAGCCCCAGCAAGCTCTCCATCCGTGGTTGCAATTATTACTGCAGAAATGCAGATTCCAGCTCAAAATGCCGATGACGAGCAATAGGTACGCTTTTTTAGGGGATTCTTACATAAAGAGGAAAGAATGGTCATATTTATTCAGGGCCTCTTAAATGCATTTTTAAGGGCATTTCACATTGACTTAATGTTTATTTATTTTATTTATTTTTTATTTTTTTATTGGGAAATTGGGGGGATGGGAACAGAGCTGGGGAATTGGGGGAAGGGGAATAGACAAGTTGCTGTCGTTTTGTTCTTCAGTCTAGTTGTGGAGGACGTTGCTTCACTGGCCCAAGTTGGCACCACCATTGCGCTTTTCCCCGGCGAGGCACATCAGTCGCCGGCTTCTAGACGGCCGCTCACTGCGGCTGCTGGCTACATACGGTAGCCCATGGCAACCCACTGCCACAGAGACTGCAGCCTATGCCGTCGCTGGCAACTCACGGCAGCCCAGCTCCAGGTTGAGCTGTTGTTCAGCATCTTAGCTGTGGAGGGCAGTGTCACTGGACCTCATATGTGGGATCCGAACCGGGGCCCTCTGGCATCCCAAGCCAGTTCCTAACCATCGCGCCACTCGGCCGGCCCAACTTAATGTTTTATTTAATCCTCACAAGAACCCCGAGACACAGGTGCTATTCTTTTTTTTTTTTTTTTTTTTAAGATTTTGATTAAAATATAACTAACACAATAATAGTATATTAGTTTCAGGTGTACATCATAGTTATTCAAAACTATCCATCTAACACTACACATACTTATTACCATATTATTGATTGTATTCCCTATGCTAAAGAAGTGATCACCGTGATAAGTCCAGCCACCATCTGACACCGTACTGCATTATTATAGTATTATTGACTATATTTCCTATGTTAGTCCAAGTCTTTTTCCTGTATTTCCTAAGGCTCCAAGACTTATTTGTTTTATATTTGGAAATTTGAACCCCTTATTCCCCTTTATCTTTCCCCCCCTTTTTAATTTTTCAATTACAGTTGACATTCAATATTTTATATGAATTTCAGGTGTACAACCTAGTGGTTAGACTTTTATATAATTTAAGAAGTGATCCTCCTGACTAGTCTAGTACCCACCAGGCACTATACATAGTCATTACCATATTATTGACTATATTCCCTGTTCTTTACTTTGCATTCCCATGACTATTTTCTAACAACCAATTTGTGCTTTGTAATCCTCCCAACCCCCCTCCCATCTGGCAACCATCAAAATGTTCCCTATATCTATGAGTTTGTTTCTTTCATTTGTTTACTTTTTTCTTTAGATTCCACTTATGAATGAAGTCTTATGACATTTGTATTTCTCTGTCTGACTGCACACTCAGCACAATACCCCCTAGGTCTATCCACATTGTTGCAGATGGCAAGATTTCATTCTTTTTTAGGGCTGAGTAATATTCCATTGTATATATGTACCACCTCTTCTTTATCTGTTCGTTCATTCAGGGACACCCAGGCTGCCTCCACATCTCGGCCATTATAAACAATGCTGCAATGAACATATGGATGTACACCTCCCCTCAAAGTAGCATTTTGGGTTTCTTTGGGATTATCCAGAAGTGGGATTACTGGGTCCTTGTCTCCTGTTATTTGTTTCAAAGTCTATTTTGTCTGGTATACATATTGCTACTTGAGGTTCCCTCCCCCCACAATCCCTTTACTTTCAGTCTGTGTCTGCCTTTCGATCTGAAATGAGTCTCTTGTAGGCAGCACATGTAAGGGTCTTGTTTTATCCATTCAGCCACCCTATGCCTTTTAATTGGAACATTTAATCCATTTACATTGAGAGTAATTGTTGATAGGTTTGTAGCTATTGCCATTTTATTCATGTTTTTGATCTTTTTTTTTTCTATATTAAAGAAGTCCCTCTAAGATTTCTTATAATACTGGTTGGATGGTGATGAACTCCCTTAGATTTTTCTTGCCTGGGAAGCTCTTTATCTGTCCTTTGATTATAAATGATAGCTTTGCTGAATAGAGTAGTCTTGGTTGGTTTTCAGTACTCTTGAATATTTCCTGCCAATCCCTTCTGGCCTGCAAAGTTTCTGCTGAGAAATCAGCTGATAGTCTTTTAGGAGCTCCCCGCTTTTTTTTTGCTGCTTTTGAGATTCTCTCTTTGTCTTTAACCTTTGGCATTTTAATCATGATGTGTCTTGGTGTGGGCCTCTTTCGGTACATCTTGTTTGGGTCTCTCTGCACTTGCTGGGCTTGTATATCTATTTCCTTCATCAGGTTAGGGGAGTTTTCTGTCATTATTTCTGCAAATAGGTTTTCAAACCCTTGCTCTATCTCTTCTCTTTCTGGTACCCCTATTATGCAAATGCTAGCATGCTTGATGTTGTCCCAGAGGCCCCTTAAAACTATTCTCATTTTTTTGGATTCTTTTTTCTTTTTGCTGTTCTGATTGGGTGTTTTTTGCTACCTTATCTTCTGAATTGCTGATTCAAGCCTCTGCTTCATCTAATCTACTATTGATTCCCTCTAATGTATTCTTCATTTCAGTTATTGTATTCTTTATTTCTCACTGGTTCTTTTTTTTTTATGTTTTCGGTCTCCATTTTTCTGTTTTCTATCTCATAATTGAAGTTCTTCTTCCTATCTCTTTGCTGAAATTCTGCTTGAGATCATTGAGTATCCTTATAACCAGTGTTTGGAACTCTGCATCTAGTAAATTACTTGTCTCCAATTTGTTTAGTTCTTTTTCTGGAGCTTTGTTCTGTTCTTTCATTTGGGACATGTTTCTTTGTCTCCCTATTTTGGCTTCCTCTCTGTATTTGCATATATATTAGGTAGAGCTGCAATGTCTCCTGGTCTTAGTAGGGTGGCCTTATGTAGTAGGTGCCCTGTGGGGCCCAGTGGAGCAATCTCCCTGGTCACTTGAGCCACGCGCTCCAGGTGTGACCCTTGTGTAGGTTGTATATACTTTCCTCTTGTTGAGCCTTAGTTGTTTGCATATCAATGGGAGGGACTGGCCCTGACTACAGTGGAGGAGCTGTGCAGGGGCTGACCCTACGAAGCAGGATCTGTCTCAGCAAGACTCTGGTGTCTGCCCAATCCGCCCCTTGGCTGCGTCATACTTGGAGACAGCTGAGCAATGCTCCAGCTCATGTTGAAGCTGGCTTCTGGGCGCTCCACCCCAGGGCCACCTGGGAGAGGATCTGCTGCAGGCCAGGTTCAGCTGCAGCATGTGCCCTGCCCAGGGCCACCTGGCATGAGCCATAAAGCAAACTGCAGATGGCCACTCCCCACGCTGTGCTTGGAGATGCCTTGAGAGGCCAAGCCACAAACCCAGGCCAGCTGCTGCTAGTTCCGGCTTAGGGCTGCTCAGCCAGAGGAATAGGACACGCTTAAGCCAGATGTTGCTTGTCTGGATTCCGTGAACCTTTGAGAGACACTAGGAGAGGCTGTAGGTTGAGCCAAGGCAGGAGGTTTGTATGAAAAAGCCACTGGACGCCGCTTCCGTGAGCCCGAAAGTTGGAAAGGGTGGGGTCTCGAATCACGAGGGTGGAGCCAATGGTGTCATTCAGTTTGATGGAGACTCAGATATGACGTCTACATTCGTGCGTGCGTGCGTGCGTGCGTCTGAACGCAGAGAGGGGGTGGGCGCCACAAAAACCGTGGCTTCCGGCTGCTCCTGCATCCGGGGGAAAGCTGCCATTCCAGCTCTTGACCTGGAGCCAGGCAACTCAGTCCCCCCACCCCCATGTCCCTGTCGCCTCTCCAGCTGCTGCCCCAGCACTGGAACTCTGAGCCAGCGATTCCGACGGTGAGTAAGTCCGTGTGCGGTGTCTTTAGAAGGAGCGCCTGGGACTCCAGCCCCCCTGCGTCTCACTCAGCCACCATTCCTCTGGTTTTCACAGCCAGAAGTTATGAGGACTTCTTTCCCAGGCACTGGAACCCTGTGCTGGGGAGCCTCTGTGGGCTGGCTGGGACGCGCTCCTGGGGGCAGGGGGGAGGTGGGGCGGGGAACCTCTGCAGCTGAGATACCCTCCTGATTTTTAATGGTCACACCTGGTGTGCAACCATCATGTTCAGCTTTTCTGCCGCCCCTACCAGTCTCGAGGTGGCTGCTGCTTCTGTAGGGCTTTGGTTCAGTTAGACAAGGGATTGGCAAACTGCGGCTCCTGAGCCACATGCAAATCTTTGGGTACGTTCTGTCTCAAAAGTTTGCTGACCCCTGGAAGAGCCAATCCTGTCCCTCACAAAAATTTAAAAATTATTCGAGAGCCATGAATATATTTTTACATAATCACCATTATGTGAGCAATATTTAAAAATTTTATAAATGAAACTATGATAGTTTTATTTTTATTTTCAATTTTACTTCAGAGCCGCATGTGGCTTGCGAGCCACGGTTTGCCGACCCCTGGCTGCTCTTCTGTCTCAAAAGTTTGCTGACCCCTGAGCTAGACTTTAGGTGATTATCAGTGATGGTTGTTTTGTAATTTCCTTGTAATTTTGATGTGAGAGAAGGTAAGCACAGAGATTACCCACTCCCCAAATTGACCGAAACTCAGTATTCTTAATTGGCCATTTTATGGACTGTTAAGCCCTCAGAGGTTAAGTAGGCAGGATTCTAACCAACATCTGTGTCCAAGTCACATTTTCTTTATACTGAGAAACTGTGTCACCTAACAGATGTTAGGCATGGCACTAGCATCAAGCTATTCTAAACAGAGTATTCATCAAATGAGTAGGAGTTTTGTATAATGGAGACCAGAGAGCAATTCTTGTCTTATTTTTACAAGTTACTTGTTAAGTCTACGTGACTTTTGAAGACTGTATATTCACATCGTTAACATAGTTGTGTATAGACAAACTGTAAAAGTTTGCCTTGACATTATTGAGAAGTTTGTCATCAGAACCTAGGGCTATATTTCAGTACGCATATAAGATGTTGATCCTTTTGAAAAAACAAAGGTTTTTTGTTTGTCAATGTCATATTCAGCGCGTTTGTGGGAGGGAGGGTGCCAGCATGATGCTTCAGGGCCGCGGCCATCACAAGTGCTTCAGAGCGATGCCATTCAGTGCCCTTGTTCATAATTTTGTAACTTTGTGTGTTTGCATATCAAATTTCCCAGAAGCAAGTCCCCTTTGAAGGGTATTAACACAGAATTATGGGGGTGATTTTGCTTCTTTCTGAGACATGCAGGCAGAGTGGCTGTCACTGGAGAGACCCTCTTAGTCTGTGTGATGATACCTCATTTCCATGTGGCCCTTTTGCCTGCCACGAGGGCTCACCAGGTGAGCCAACCGTGATTGATTTTAGCATCGATAAATTTGGGGCGTTTCCCTCTAGCCCATTCTAAGCCCTCTAGGCCAATCCTGTGTATCACAAACTAGTTTTCTCTTCATCCAGATTCAATTTGATTTTACTGGTTAGAGTCGGCATTTAGTCAGAGGGACAGAGAAAACGAGTTGCTTCTGGTTACTAGGTTGTCTGTCTCCCACACATGAAATGCAGTGAAATAAAAATACATGCGTTTCCTCGTTCCTAAATTCTGCAGACTCACTCACACCAGCGTCCGGGGCTCAAGCCAATGAAACCACTTCAATGTGATTGGCGTAGAGTGCTAAGCTAAGCTGCCTGCTTTTGGGGTCTTCGTTCAAAAGGAGATGATGAGCAGGACACCAGTAACTCCAGGGAGCTTCCTGGAATTATGCTCACGGCCATAAAAATCAGAGTGGAGACTGATTTTCAGGTCTATCCCGAGAAAATTTCTGTAGAACAAATCCTGCAGAGAGTTTTCAGCCCCTGGACAAGGTTGATAACTCTGAGAAGGCTGCAGAAGCTTTTAATCTTAAAACTGCCAGCGCAGAGAAAAAAGCATCCTTTGTCCATGCCTCAGATCTTTGAAACAGGTTTTTTTCTTTTGCTTTCAATTCTCCTTATAGAGATTGTTTGTAGCAAAAGGGGCTTTGAAAATACCGTATTTCCCCATGTATAAGACGTACCCCTTTTTGAAAATTTTGGGGTCTAAAAACTGAGTGCATCTTATACAGTGGTTGTAGATTTTTTTACTTGCATTTCCTGCAAGTGATGAGTTGTATGAATTTTATGATGAATAAAACTTGAGTTCAGTAACTTTATGTAATACATTTTTTTTTTCAAATTTCAGGCCCCAAAATTAAGGTGCGTCTTATACATGGGAGCGTCTTGTACATGGGGAAATACGGTAAGTGGGGCAGGCTCTTTCAAATAATAAAAAAGGTGACTTGATTATCTGAAAGTTTTACGTGCTTGCAAAGATTCGAACCATGAAAATTCCTTAGAAGAATGGTAGTTTGGGTAAAATGTATTTTTGCTGTCTATGCTTTAAAAAATTATACAGGTTTCAGCTCAGTGATGTTGTAAACAAGATTGCAGGTGCTTTAAGAACTGACTTTCTCCTCAATACTTATTATTTAGCATCTAAAATCAATGCTGTAAACATCACATACCTGCGCATTTCAATAGTCACCAACTTACACCCCAAGAAGAGAAAACAGAGGGATTTTTCTCACAGAAAAAGAGTAAATTGATGAAAATATAAAGAAACACCTTCACAAAGGTGCTTTAAAACATACTTTGAAAGTTTTGAGGTGTTTTGTTTCTTCATACACACGGGAGGAGAGATTGGCTCACGTCTAAGTTTTTCCCATTCCTTAAGTTTCACTCAAAAACCCCCTAGGTTTCTCATTTCAGGACCACCCTCCAACAGGATGGCAAAGCCCTCACCCCCACCTCAGCACCTACAGTGCAAGTCAGCTGCAGGCTACAGTTACAAAGTATCAGAGCAAGATGAAGAATTACAGTATCGTAGTGGCTGGGAGGCTAGATTATAGCTATTTCAGGAGAGAGATTTACAGCAATATTTAATGAATATAATTAGTTTCTTTATCAGTCGGTAACCATATCCACATGTGCGTATGGTCGGATTAAATGAAGCCATTATAATAACCTTACAAAAGGTGACTATTTGGCGATGGCAAGTGTGGCTACACAAAATTGCATTTTCTGGGCGCCGTGCTATTTTTCAGATTGACACAGGTTGTTGGTCCAGTCTGCCTGGAATGTGCCTCCTAATTTGGGGGGCATTTCCCTTATAAAAGAACATGAAAAGATCTCGCTTTGGGATGCAGATATTATTGGAGTTATCAATCTCAGCCTACTTAAAAATATCACAGACTAAAACTTGGGAGCACCGTTCTTTCGCAAAATTAACATTTTCCACCTTGGAGTGATTTTCACACATTTAGTTTTATTGGGAATTTTTTTTATTTTCAGGGATTATTATATAAAGGGTCATTATACAGATAAGCTAAATACTGAAAGATTCAGAACACTAATTCAGGTTTTTAAAGAGTTGCTAAGAAAAAAAATCAGTCTGGAGTTCATGAAAAATGATCAATAGACAACCACGGGTTATTTTAAAGTCTTCACTTAACACTGGAGGCCTGGTAATTTACACATATATTTAATACTGAGGGGATTTTATTATTGGTAAATTTTGGAAGTAAATTTTGCTAATTATTTCTATCTCCACCAATATTTTTCTGTTTTATGTTTTTCAAACTTGAAATAATGTAGGCTAAAGAGAAAAAGTTGTTCTGTCACAATTTAAAAAAGAATATCTGGGGAGGTCAGCAATGCACTGTTAGCATTTTTATCTTGGTAACCTGACTAGACATAGTGCACGAGTATTACAGTTATAAAAAATAAAGAAAGAAAATCAGGATTCTTAGATTTTCTATAGAGAAAAAAAATCTGAAACTGGAGAAATTGTATGGCAATGTTTCTTAGTCTCAAGTATGAATATTTGCTATTAGAGTCTTATCTTGTGCCACTGGAAAACTTAACAATTGCCATCGTACAACTCGGTTTGGCCACCCCAAATTCAGACACCAGCACTCGGAAGAGACAAGGGACCCAATGAGCTGATCCTACAGCCATCGGGTCCAAAGCTAAGCTGAGCATCTCCCAAACGATCTAGTGTTCCTGATGGACTGCCTCAGCATGTGTAGCCCACTGATAAGAGTAGTTATAAACAACAGTGCAATTTAGGGGCTCCCAAGGTGACCCCATGGGGGACTGGCAGAATTGGTTAACCTCCCAGTCTGACTTCCCGGCTTCGGGCATCACTTCCCTGAGTAGACTCAGCCCTTATACAGTCTGCTATCCCCCTTGCTCATGGTCTTCATGAGGTTGGTATTAATGGTTACATATCTGCCTGATAATATTATAAAAGTCTCTCCCACTTGATTTCTCCCTCTACATTATATTTCTTAGCATCTTTGGCACCTGTCATGGCACCTGCCACATAGTAGGTGCTCAGTAAATGTCTGCTGTGTGAGTGAAAGGGTCCATTAAAATGATTCCAATGTTTTCTTTTCTACAGACTTCAGACCAGTGGGCTGTTCAAGACCAAAGACTCCTCAGAGGTAAGTAAGTTTACCTTAGTCTAATGATGGTCCCTAAATTTTGTGGAACATACAGTAAAACCTTGGATTGTGAGTAATTTGGTTTGCGAGTGTTCCGCAAGACAAGCAAACATTTCTCATACATTTTAACATGGTACACGAGTGATATCTTGCAATACGAGTAGTTTGTTTCTGGAACAAATTATGCTCGCAAACCAAGGCAGTACCGTAGTTTCAAGCAATTTATTTTACTTATGACATTGACTGTGACGAAAGAGGAAGGAAGGAGGCTTCAGGAAAACCCCAAATGTCTTGGCACAGGATTTGTTTGTTAATGTCAGGGAAATGTGTCTATCAAGCAACTTTTTGTGTATTTATTTACATGCATAAAAGCACTCAGTTCATGCGATCTGAGAATCCTTTCAGAGCTGGGCAGATAATATGGGCAAAATACAAGGCAGAAGCCTCTTAGGTATATAACATAGCTGTTATTAATTCCTTATTAGCTATTACTATAAAAATTTGAATAACAAAACAGCATGGCTCGCTGTAAAAAAATTCACAGGTACATTAATTAGAAAAACACTTGACTCTATTGAATGTTCCTCTGCTTTCCGCAAACATCAATGCAATTTTAATTTAAAATAACTGATTTGCTTGTAAAATAAATGTTACATACCATTTAAAAACTGACTTTCTAATAATACCTCTGAGTTTTCCTGTGCTCTGGATAGTTAAGTATTTACATATATATTACTAACCCCTATTAATTTTACATTGCCATCAGTGGAGGCCTTAAATTTTATTTTTAGCTAAAGAATTGCTCCTGCCTCAGGATCCACTTCAAGACAAAATTAATTTTAACCTACTAATAGGAAGGTAGAATTTTAAATCACATTCAAATTTTACATTTTCACTAATGCTTTCCTTATAAATTTCCTTCAAAGCTTATATTTAACATGGGATTTTTTGTCTGTTCACTTCATAAACCCTTTTAAGCCTTAGTTTAGTTTAAGTCTTAAGGATTTCTATTTATCTAACTAAAAGTTAATAATTAAACGTGTGGATTTTAAAAATCATAATCCCGTCACATTAGTAGACACTAATTCTATTTAAAAAAAATCACCTACAATTTTTTGGACCATATTTTCATATGGTTTCTTATTGACTTAAACAATCCATGTTTTTAGATACATTTATTAGTCGCTTTGATGGCAAGCTTTGCTGTCAGCTTTCTTACACAGCGCATGCCCAAAATTGTATCTCAACAAACCGTTAACGCTGAAAAAAGAAACCTTCAGAACTTTTCCAAGGTTTAAGACTTAAAGAGTCAGATGCAAATAACCTGGGGCTACGCTGTATGGCCACTGTTGGGATGGCATCCCCATAGGGGATCCTGTTCCTGTGACTGACAAGTCAATCCTATCCCATTTACAAATGTTTCGATGCCTGCGATATTAACATCACTGCCCTCCCTGCTCGAGAGAAGCACCACCCTGTAACTCCTGGCATGGAGCAGTCCCCGGAAATGGCAGCACGCGTAATTGTAACCTCTGCCTCCGTGACAAACAGTGCAGGTGCTCTCCACGGCTCTGCCTTTCATTTCAGTGGCATCAAAGGAAAACTCAAGAACCTCGGAAAATAACTAGCCCCATGTCTCTGATAAAATAAAATGCTTACCCACAGACATAAATTACCATGGAAATAAAGAGAGGACCAGAAAAAAAAAATCACACCGTTTCCGAATGCTCTTAAAGCAGAGGCAGCGGAGTGCTGCGAGCTGAGCCTTGGGTCTCGGGCGGCTTTAATCCAACAGGTTTGCTCAGTCTATGATGGGAGAGCAGGGTCTTTTTAATAGTCACTTCTGTGGATGCCCGCTTGGAAATTTTTGCTCTGGAGACATTCTGAATGTGAGTTTGGCCGTGACAAAATTAGTGCCCCAGTGGGGTTCCAAGCGGCAAACCCAATGCCAGGCAGCCTCCATCCCCACGATTTGCCTGTCCATCGGCTTCCCTTCCTCTTTCCTTCACTCGTTCACAACTCTCTTCTAAACGTCCTTCTTATTTATGCCAGAGAAACAATTCTCATTGAAAATAAACACACACACAAATACATTTAAATTTAAATCCCTTTTTAGCACCTACTCCTTCCTCAGAGGAAACTATTGCAGGTAATGTGTTTCGCGTCTTTGTGGGTCTTTTTTGTACATATGCATGTACAGAAACGTAATTGGTGTGTTTTAAATCACAAATGGGGTCAAACCGTACTTATTGTGTGCAAGTTTTTAAAATGTGAAGAACTTTACCTATCAGTACCTAGAGCTTTGCCTAATTCCTTTAACATGCTGCATAATATTCCATAGTATAGACATAGTTCAGTATTCCTTCCGTGATGAAAATATAAATTGTTTCCAGTCATTTGCTGTAAGGAATACTTGTGTAGGTGTCGGGCTGTCTCCAGGGTTTCAACCAGAGGTGAGGTCGCTGAGACAATGACATGTTTATTTGCTGTTGTACGACTGCTGCCATGTTACCTGCCAAGGGAGCTGTATTGAGTCAAGTCTCACCAGCCTGTACGAGGCTTCTCATTACCTTATACACCCTCTCTAGGTGCTGGGATTGCCAGGTATGTTGCCTTTGGCAAATTCGATGGGTATGAAATGATATCTCATTGAGATTTTTTAATTGCATTTTCCTGCTTGCCCGTGATGTTGAGTTTATCTTCATTTGGATATCGACCTGTGGGTTTCCCGTTCCATCCTTGGCCTTCAGAAAAATAGCAGCTTATTTTAGACGTGCCTCACAAACTTTGAAGTTTGCCCCTTTCAAATGTACAACTCAGTGGTTTTTTCATATATTTACAAAGTTGTATATTGATCACCCTCAAAAGAAATCTCCTACCCATTAGCAGTGACTTCCCATTACCCTCCCTGGCAACCATTAGTTTGTCTGTTGCTAAGGATTTGTTTGTTCTGAACATTTCATGTAAATGGAATCATTCAATACTGTGCATTTTGTGACTGGCCTCTTTCACTTCGTGTATGTAGTATTTTCAAATTTACCTCCGTGTTGTAGAATGGGTCAGTATCTCATTCCTTTTTGTGACTGAATAATATTCCGTGGTATGGATAGATCACATTTGTCTGAATGTTCTTGGCTGTTCTCATACATTATTGAATATTATATATCTTTGAGATCAATATTTGAACTTATTGAAGTTCCAAAAAAGTCCTGTTGCTATTGTGTTTTGGGTTTCATTAAATTTATAAACCAGTTTGGTAGAGAGTACTGCCATAATTATAAGTCTGGGGGTGTAGGATGGCTCTGTATTTATTTGAATCTTCTTTTATGGCCTACTGCTTTCATGGTTTCCTTCATATGGGTCTTGCAAATTTCTCCTAGTGCTACCTGTTTCAAATGTACACTTGATTGCCAGTTTGGGGGAATTGGACCCAATGTTCCATAGAAATTATATAATAAGTGGTGGTTGGTTCCCAGACATAGCCACATGGGTTATGAGTGAGAACCATAGGAGGCACTGTAGTTTGGGGGTCAGGGTTTGCATCCAAAAGGTAGATGATCTGGGGACCTCTTACTAGCTGTGTAACATCGAGCACGTTACCTTCTCTTTCTGTGCTTATTTTGTTGCATGTAAAGTGGTGATAATAGTACCTCCCTCATAGGGTTGTTATGTAGACACATAGAAAGTGCTGAATAAACGATAGCTATTGTTATTCGTGTCTATGAGCCCGATTTGAGATTCAGTGCAGAGCACCTGGTTTATGCACACACCTGACTCCTTGTTTTTCAGCTTTGTGACTGAGGTGAACTTATAAGGAATGGGTTTGGTTTGGTAAGTGAGGTTGGGACCCTGGGAGACTGCCCAGAGGAGGGAGGACACGAGAAGCAGAATGGGATTTAGCAACAGCCATTTAAACACGAGAAGCCTTTTGGCTGCTGCCTTCTCTCCACCAGAGGCTGCCCCAGCATCCTAATAGCTTCCCTACGACCAGACCCCCTCCCCGTCTCTGCAGCCACAGGGATCTCCCTAAAATGTAGATCCATCATATCCTTGCCTTTTCTTTAGCTCTAATGGTTCCACGGTGCCCTCACAACAAGATGTAGGCTCTGGATGTGGTTATAGACTCAGCCTGCTTATTCTCCAGTAATTCCTCCTTTCTCTACTGATCTCTAATTTCTTCCAGTCCCTCCCACCCTCTCCACACTCTCCTCCAATCCTCTAGGTTTCAAGCAGAAACATGTCCTTCTGAATATCTCCCTGAATGCGGGTCTCTCTCCTTACCAGATAAATATTTGCTGTTTTGTTGCTTACATTGTCTTCTAGAATGATTGTCTTTACATAGTTTCTAATAGTGTCCCTGTGTCTGGCAGCTGTCCATATTATGTCTAATTAAATATACTGTGAAGACAAATGTGTCCAATGGATGCACAGATGTTCTTCTTACCCCACGTCTCATGGCCCTCTGCTTACCACACAGAAATATGGTGGAGATAAATACGGTGAGATGTCTATAGGTTGTCTATTGACTTTCTAGTTAATTTCTACCATGCTAGGTAACCCTGCTCCTGCTCCCCAGACACACACATTTTGGTCTCCTGCAGAATTTAACTGCTTAACTGTTGACTAGAAGATAAGTGGTTAGCCCTAGGATTGACAGTCGGGTGGCGGTGCCAAGATGAATGGCAGGGTAAATCGAGGCTTAGGTTACGTTTTTTGTGGAAGTACAGACAGTGATCCTGACTGCACGGAGGGGGCGCAGAGAGGATGGAGTGCTGATCCCGGTTCTAGAACAAATGGGCCTCTGCTCCTGAGAGGAGATGGACGTTTCCAGATCGTGTTCATTTACCCTCCTGGGAACCAACCAGAGGCTCTCCAGGGTTCTCCAAAGTTTCATCTAACTAAAAAATATTGTCACTTTGCACCTCTCTCCTGGAGAGATCATAGGTGTTTTCTGCATTCTGAGCTATTTGTTTAGTCCTTGGAAAAAAGAGGTGGGGCAC